TGCGGGGAACAAACACAGGCCGCGGCTCAGCGGCGCGACCAGGCCGCGGCTCGGCGCCCGGGCAAACGCATTCCCCCGTCGCACCCCTCGCACCCACCTCGAGCCCGCTGGCCACGCGAGCCTTCTGGCGGTAGACGGAGTAGAGCAGGGCGGTGAGGGCGGTGCTGGCGGTCAGGAGCACGGCCTGCGCTGCCGAGGGCCGCCCGCCGCCCTCCATGGCCGCCGTTACCACGGCAACCGCGCGGCGCGCCGTGATGACGTCAGCGCGGCGCCGCCATGGAGACGGGCGGTCCGCCAGGCCGGGGCAGGGCGGAGCTCCGCGGGTGCCCCACACGGAGTGGGGCCGGATCCCAGCCCCGCGGGGCGTTAGGGGCATGAATGCCATCCTTGCGAGTGTACGGGACAGCTCGCAGCCTCCCCACGCCTTTAACCCCACCTCCGCCCTGGGGTCTTGTGGGGGGATCAAACTCCAGCCTCACCAGCATCCCCAAATCGCAGCCATCCCTTGGGATCTTGGCCCCAAATCCTAATGCAGCCGGTGTGGGGGGAGAGCATCCCCCGTACCCCCCTACCACTCTGGGGATGGGGGGCAACCCAAATCTCACCCTTCTACTAAGTTTGTAGGGGCAGTGGTCAGACCAAAGCTGTCTCCCTGTGGCTGGGAGGGGATATCTCCCCAAATCCCAGCCCTATAGCCCCTTGGGGAAGGGGTTACAACCCCTCCCTGGGCTGGGGGGGGGGGGATATCTCCCCAAATCCCAGTCCTATAGCCCCTTGGGGGGGGGATATCTCCCCAAATCCCAGCCCTATAGCCCCTTGGGGAAGGAGTTACAACCCCTCACTGGGCTCTGGAGGGATATCTCCCCAAATCCCAGCCCTATAGCCCCTTGGGGATGGGGTTACAACCCCTCACTGGGCTGGGAGGTGATATCTCCCCAAATCCCAGCCCTATAGCCCCTTGGGGAAGGGTTTACAACCCCTTCCTGGGCTGGGGGGGATATCTCCCCAAATCCCAGCCCTATAGCCCCTTGGGGATGGGGTTACAACCCCTCCCTGGGCTGGGGGGGGGGGGAATATCTCCCCAAATCCCAGCCCTATAGCCCCTTGGGGAAGGGGTTACAACCCCTCACTGGGCTGTGGGGCAGCAGCACCATGTGCCCCCACCCAGTGCAAGGACTCAGCCTCAGGATGCAGCCCCCAGCCCCACTTTGCAGAGTCCTTTTTCCACGCCCCACAAAGGGCCATGGCAGGGTGGAAGGTCTCTGCTGGTGGGGACACAAAGCCCCCATTCCAAAACTCCCACCCCCCACCATTTCCTTACCATTGGTTATTCTGGGAAAGCAGCAAAACGGGAAGAAAAAAATAGAAATGTTTTGTAAATTATTGATCTTCAGGCCTTTGGTGCTGATTTGGAGTGGGGGGGTGGTGCAGGCAAGTTCTGTGGGGTCCGAGGGGCCAAAACCCCCTCACTGCTCCCCGATGTGGGCGGCACAGCCGCCCCCGGCTCTATATTTAAAAAATGAAGTTGCCATGGCTACGCAGAGCAGCTCTCCCGCCCTCGGTGCGGCAGGAAAGCACTGTGGCCCCCGCAGCCCCCCTCCTTGCCTTGCCTTTCCAGGGGTAAATGCAATATAAACCCCCCAAGCTGCCTCAGAGCCGAACTAACTCTGCCATCCGCCAGGCTCCGGGCGAGACACAGGCGCCGTCACACCTCAGGAAACACACATTCACTGTTTTATTATGGCTGCTGCGGAGGAGGCACGAGAGCAGCTTCATGTGCGGGGCTGGGGGGGTCCCTGGGGTGCAAAGCCACCCCACTGTGGGTCTTCCTGCGAACGGAGCTGCGAACTTGTCCAGAGTGATGCCCGAGGAGGGCCCAGCAGCGGCCGGGGCACAGTGAGGGCAGCGCAGGCCCGGCCCCGCGGGCGCTCAGCACACGGCGGCGCGGGGCCCGCGCAGGCTGCAGCCCCTCATGTCGCTGGCCAGCCGCAGCACGGCCGCTCGCTCGGGGTCCCCCAGGGCCGTCCCGGCGCCGAAGGCCTCCTCCTCCTCCTCCTCCAGGATGGAGCTGAGCCTCGGGGCGCAGCGGGCGCGCTCGGCCGGCGGGCGGTAGGGACACTTGGCGTTGAGCAGCCTGCGGAGGGGCACCAAGGGCACGATGGCGTCGCCCAGGAGCTGCTGCTGCACGTGGCGGAAATCGCTCTGTCTCTTGAGGCGCTTGAACTCGTTGAAGGCGGAGGCCGAGGTCTGGTAGAGCAGCAGGGCCATGGCGCGCGCCTTGTCGGCCTTGGAGAGCAGCACGGCGTGGCAGCGCAGCACCACCGCCTTGTTCTTCACCTGGTGCCGGTACACCCAGGCGAACACCTTGGGGTGGCGGCGGTCGGCGGCGCAGTAGGTGATGCGGTGCAGCAGGTACGCGTGGCCCGGCCGGCGGGTCCCCTTCTCGCAGGGCGTCATGCGGATGCCGTGGGGGCCCAGCGTCAGCGTCATCTTGGCCCCTCCGGCGCCCGCCTCGCTCTTGGCCCAGATCTTGCCCACCGCCTCCTCGGTGCAGCCCTCGCCCTTGGCGTGCAGGGTGACGGCGTTGCCCAGGTACCTCACCGTGTACGTCGGGTCCTCCTTGTTCAGCTCCACTTTCTGGCGCTTGCCGCGGAAGACGCTGCCCAGGCGCTCCAGCGGGCACTGGGGCAGCAGGTCCGGGCAGGAGCGGAGGAAGCCGGCCAGCAGCGCCGCGTAGCTCAGCCCCGGCCCCAGGCTCTTGCCTTTGCACTTGCGTTCATTTTCCACCAGCACGAACTTGCTCCGGCGCCAGGGCAGCATCTCCGCTCCGCTAGTGCCGGCCTCGCTCGCAAGCAGCGGGACCACCCCCCGAGCCCCGGAGCCGGTTTGGGGGGTAGTCCCCGCACCCCCCGCGCAGGGGGTGTCGTCCCCTACCCCGGCAGCGGGACGCGACCCCGTTCCCGGTCCGGCTGCCCACGGAGGATGCGGAGCCGCGGAGCCGCCGCGTTCCGGGTGCCGCCTGCGCCTGATGCTGCGGGAGCGGCGGCGGCGGCGGCTGCGGGGACGCGGCTCTCCGTGGGCTGCTCCACCTCCCCGAGCACGCGGGGAGCCGCCGGTGAGCGGCCCCCGCCGGTGAACGGCCCCCGCCGGTGAGAGACCCCCGCCGGTGAGAGGCCCCCGCCGGTGAGAGACCCCCGCCGGTGTCAGACCCCCGCCGGTGAACGGCCCCCCGCCGGTGAGAGACCCCCGCCGGTGTCAGACCCCCGCCGGTGAGAGACCCCCGCCGGTGTCAGACCCCCGCCGGTGAGAGACCCCCGCCGGTGAGCGACCCCCGCCGGTGACAGACCCCCGCCGGTGAACGGCCCCCAACGCTGAGCGGCCCCCGCCGGTGAACAGCCCCCGCCGGTGAACGGCCCCCGCCGGTGAGAGACCCCCGCCGGTGAACAGCCCCCGCCGGTGAGAGACCCCCGCCGGTGAGAGACCCCCGCCGGTGTCAGACCCCCGCCGGTGAACGGCCCCAGCCCCAGCGCCGGCACCCACCGGCGTGAGAGGAAATTCCCTGATTTCCCAGCCGGCTGGGGGGCTGATTTTGGGAGGGTCAGCTGATGGCTTCTGACACTGGAATGACAAAAAGATGGGGTTTTTCCCCCCCAGATCAGTACGTTGCACAAGGGTGTGTGCCAGGATTTGCAGATCCTGCAGCCTTGCTGGCATTTTTTCTTCCAGACCTCCTATTTGCTCCTGTAATTTCCAAGCCAGTCAGATCTCCTCACTGCTCCTCTCCTTTTGGGCTGAGCTGGCTTTTAACCTGTTGCTTTTATCTTTGGCCAAGCCCCTAAGACAGCTGCTCTCCAGGAGAAATTGAATGCTATTGCCCCATGGCACAGCTCAGGGGGAATTTTTGGGGAGGTTTTGCAAGGTTTCAGCCCTGCAGTGGAGTCTGAGGCTGCTCCAGGATTCAGTGCCTTTGGCTCAAACCCTGGGTTCCACCTTTTTTTTTTTTTTTTTACCATCTGGAGGTAAAGCAGGGAGACCCCCGGGCTTGGGGATGCTCTGTTTGTCTTGGGATTGAAAAATGAGGTGGAGAAAGGGGTAAAATAACACCATGTGCCCCCACTTTTAATCTACTTGGGGAAGAAAAACAGAGTGGGGTGTTGCAGGGAACGGGAAGCCATTTCCTAGCAGCTTCCCAGATTTTCTGCAGTTTGAGTGAAGCAAATACAACCTTAAAATAGCAGCTTCACAGGCAGACAGCACCAGCCCCACTCTCTCACTGCCGCGGCCTCGACAGCCTTGAAGGTTTTTGCAGCCAAAATAATAAAAAATGCATGGATTTGTCTGGTTTTCAGCTTTTTTGATGCAAACATGGGCTGTGTGGTTTGCTCCCAGTGCAAATATGGTTTTGGGGAGATGGCAATTAGGGAATTAGTGCTAATGAGGAAGATTTCTATCCATGATAGCTTCTGTCTTTCGTAATTTCTATTCTTGCCCTCGCTGACTTGAGGTGAGGACTGTGTTTACTTGCTTGGTGTTCATATTGAGAGGGCAGGTGTGAACCCACCCTGAAAGCTTCTTTATTTACAGATCCCACATTATTTGGGTCGGGGGGGGAGGGGGCCTGTGGTGTCCCTCTACACTGGTTTGACCCCACAGTGCCACCCACAAGTTGCCCTAGGACTGGTTTTCCTTTTTTCTCCCAGATTTTGGGGGTTGAGGGAGACTCTGTACCACATTGTATATAGGAGGAAACAACCTGGATTTGCACTTGAAAGCTGTGAAAAAGGGTTGTGGGTTGGTTCAGGGCTGCCAATCCCTCCTCTCACTCACTGCCCTGGCAAGTGGTGAACTGTCCCTTGCTGGGTTCCAGAATGAACAAGCACCCTGGCAGTGTGTGGGAGATGGGTTTCCTGGTTATCCCTTGGACAATACCCATCTCAGCATCCTAGATTTGGTTTCTTGGGATGCCTGTGGTGGTCTCGCTGTCCCATACTTTATTTCAGCTCCTGGAGTTTCAGCCCCTTCGGAATCCACTCAAAATTTGGATGCTGCTTCCCAGTCTGTTGTGGCTCCTCAGCAGCGACCCAGCAGCAAGATTTGCTGGCAAAACCAGCAGGTAAGGTCAAAGTCCTCCCAAAATCCAGCAAACTGGACAAAAATCCCAGTGATAAATCCCTGGGGGCTGTGACAACCATCCTTGCAGCTAGAAAATGGGGCAGGAAGCTCCTTGGGCAAGGGGAAAAATAGAGAAATCTTTAATTAAAAAACAATTTGATGATCACCCGGGAGCCCTTTACCTTGTGTGGGCTGATTCCCTTGGAAGCACCAGCCAAACTGAATTTGGGCTCCAGCATGAGGGCATCTGAAATTGGGCTTTTGACCACCTGTGTCTTCAGCCAGTTTCCCCTGTTGACTGTACTTAGAAGACCTGGGAAATATTATTTTTTATGATAAAAATATTTTTCTGTATATTTTTTTATGCTTTCAATAATTTAATTTATTTCTTTTGATCTCACTGATCAGGAGCTGTTGTTCCTTCCCCCAAGGAATGATTTAAGGATATTTTCCTATGGAGCCACAAAACCAGTTTTGAACTGAGGAGGGGTGGGATGGCAGCTGGGACAGAGAAAGGAGGAAGTAAATAACGAAAACAAGAGAAATTGGAAAAAATGAGGCAGCAGGCAGAGAGAGGATGTGGGAATCCCTGAAGACGGTGCTTTTGGGGCCAGGGCTGTCCCTGAGGATGCTTCCCGGAGTTCAGCTGCGTGCCGGGGCGTTATCCCGGCGTCCCGGCCAGCCTATTTTCCAGGCGAGGAAATATTTAACTGCGGCGTCAGCGGGCAGGGCAGGCGGCTGCAGGAATGGAGGGCAGCGGGCAGCACCCGCTCCCTGCTGTCCCCCCTGGCCAGCCTCAGGGTGACCATCTCCAGCTCCTGCTGCGCCGCAGCCGGGAGGCCAAAAACTGCGCCTATTGCCCCTACAGCCAGTTCCCGGTGGGAGCCGCGCTGCTCACCGCCGGCGGGGAGATCTTCTCGGGTAAGATGGGGATCTGAACCCCCCGGGGATTTTGGGGAGCCCCCAGCAAGGCTTGGGTCGTGTATGAAGGTGCAGCGGGGTCATCCCGGGGTGCTGGTGGTGTGTGTCCTTCCCCGCTGCCTCTTGGCAGCCGCCATCCCGCAGCGAGCCAAAGATCGCAGCGGATGGGAAAATAAATAGATAAATAGGGGAAGCAGGGAAAATGGCTTTTCTTTGTCAATTCCCTGAGAAGAAAGGAGCTGGTGGGGTTTGAGGTGGCTGATGGCGGGGCTGTCCCTGCAGGGTGCAACGTGGAGAATGCCTGCTACAGCCTGGGGATGTGCGCCGAGCGTGCTGCCATCCAAAAAGCCATCTCCGAGGGGCACACCAGCTTCAGGGCCATGGCCATCGCCAGGTGAGAGCTGCAGTGGTGAGGGGTGGGATGGGCAACCAGAGCAGAACCCCCGCTGCTCCTCAGGGACAGCTTCTTTTGCTGCAGCCCCATCTTTAGGGGAGGCAAATAAAGTTTTTGCATGCTGTTTTTAGTGGAATTGGGGGACAAATCTGTTGTGGCTCTGTATTTTTTGGAGCGTGAGGGTCTTCTGCAGGTGTTCTTCCCTCCTCTGACCTCAGGACTGAATGCTGTGCCCTTCTCCTTTGGCAGTGACATGGGGGACCACTTCATCACACCCTGTGGCGCCTGCAGACAAGTGATGAGAGAGGTGACAGCTCGTGTGGGGCTCCGTGGCTCATTCCCTGATGCCAGACACCATCCCCTGACCCCAGGCATCTCCCCCTGAAACCCCGGGAGGTACCAAGGAGGGTGCAATGCCCCATCCTCAGCCCCAGGGCTGGCTCCAGGCTCCTCAAATTTCATTATCTCCTGGCAGAGGGAGATTCCAGCCCTGGGTGGGTGTTCATTAGCTCGCCTTCCAGGTGCAGGTTTGCCCTTGAGCCTTGCTCTGGCAAGCATGAAAATGGGGGTTTTCCTGCAAATCCAGCTCTTGTCTCCCTCCTCCACAGGAATCCCAGCACCCACAGCCCATTTTTGGGTTGTTAATATGTAATGTGTCACAGGGCTCTGCTCCAGGGTCAGATTCAGCAGGTTCAGAGGCACTAGGGCTCACGCTGGTGGGGTAAAAACACAGGATCTGAGCCCAAAATATCCTCTGGGGGAGGTAATGCTGATAAGCCAACCCAAAATACATGCAATAGAGGGGGATGCTCCCTGTGAACCTGAATAAAAAGGAGTATATTATTAATTTGGGGAAGAAATGCAGGTTCTTCCCTCCTTCTTCTCCCTCATCAGGCTCTTTTTTCTCCTCCTCCAGTTTGGCACAGACTGGGATGTCTACCTGACCAAAGCAGATGGCACCTACATCGTCAAGAGGCTGGAGGAGCTGCTGCCACTCTCCTTTGGCCCCGAGGACCTGAAGAAGGTCTGAGCAGAGTGGCCATCACCAGCCTTTGCCTTTATGTACAGGGAACAGTGGTTTTCCCTGATTCTCTCAGCCTGTAAGCAATTTTTTGGGAACAACACAGTGGAAAATATGTTTATACTGTTAAGTTGCCTGTTCCTCTGGACATCTTCTAATTCAGTGTTGATTTGCAGACTCCAGCTCCACCTTGCCCCGAGGAAATGGCAAAATCAAATCATAGAAATTCCCTGTTATTAGTAAAAAAAGCATCCAGACATCCCTGTAGGCAAGGGAGGACATGGGTTTGATGCAGAACTCAAACAGGCTTTGGTACAGAAACCACTCCTGAATAATGCAAAATCATGGCTTCGGAAAGTGCTGGATTCTTCAGCTCTAAAAAGAAGTGAAAGCAAGAAGGAAAAGGTCCATCAGCGCCAGAAGTGACCCAATCCAGATTAGGTGGATTGCTGGAACAGCATGGTTATTGCACTGACCATGTCCTTTGCTCCTTTCTCCCCAGCTTGTTTTCCTTGCTTTTATTCTGTTTGGGGTGAAGAAGAGGGCAGGGAGTTTTTGGGGACTTCTGGAGGGTTTTGTGTCTCCAGGATAATGCCATTTGTTGATCGTACATTGATGTATAATACAATGATACATTAATTAATTACATTTCCCAACCAGCACTGGGTTGAGCATTTCTGTCATGCCCAAGTGAAATAAAAGCAGTGGAAGGTGTCCCTGCCCATGGCAGGGGTGGAACAAGGTGGGCTTTGAGGTCCCCTGCGTCCCAAACCAGTTTGTGATTCTGTGATTTGATGACTCCACACACTTCGTGCCTGGCTGCTCCCAGGGCAGTGGCATGCTCCATGCCAAGGCACTCCTGGCTGTGGCATCCATGCCCTGCATTGCACAAGGCTTTATATTGGCTGAACCCTGCTCTGTGCCCCGCTCCATGACCCATTCTGTGCCCTGCCTGATGCCCCACTCCGTGTCCCTGTTCATACTGCACTCCACACCTGCTCCATTGCTCTATGCCCCATTTCCCGTCTCGCTCCCATGTCCTGCACCCTGCCTGTCTCCATGCCCATTCCCACGCCCACTCCCTGCCCCACTCCATGTCCCATTCCCTGCCCCACTCCATGCCCCATTCCCTTCCCACTCCATGCCCCATTCCCTTCCCACTCCATGGCCCGTTCCCTTCCCACTCCATGGCCCGTTCCCTTCCCACTCCATGTCCCATTCCCTGCCCCACTCCATACCCAATCCTAGCCCCATTCCACGTCCCTCTCCCTCCCCATTCCCTGCCCCTCTCTCTCCCCGTTCCCTCCCCATTCCCTCCCCTCTCTCCCCATTCCCTCCCCCTTCCCTGCCCCTCTCTCTCCCCATTCCCTGCCCCACTCCGAGCCCCTCTCCCTCCCCGTTCCTTGCCCCACTCCGAGCTCCTCTCTCTCTCCATTCCCTGCCCATTCCCTGCCCCTCTATCTCTCCATTCCCTCCCCTTTCCCTGCCCCTCTCCCTCCCCATTCCCTGCCCCTCTCCCTCCCCATTCCCTGCCCCTCTCCCTCCCCGTTCCCTGCCCCACTCCGAGCCCCTCTCCCTCCCTATTCCCGCCCCCTTCCCTGCCCCTCTCTCTCCCCGTTCCTTGCCCCGCTCCGAGCCCCTCTCCCTGCCCGTTCCCTGCCCATTCCCTCCCCTTTCCCTGCCCCTCTCCCTGCCCGTTCCCTCCCGTCCCGGGGCCGCGGCTCCCCGCTCCCGGGCTCCCTGGGCGTGTTTCGGGGCGCGGCCTCTCGCCGCTGCCCGCGGTGGCCCCGCCCCGGCCGAGGCTGTGGCCATGGCGGTGCGGCTGCTGCTGGCCCGGGCCCTGCGGCTGCTGCCGCGGTGCCGCCCGCCCTGCGCGCCCCGTACCGCCCGCCCCGACCCCGCTCCGCGCCCCGGCCCCGGCCCCGGCCCCGGCCCCGCGCCCGCGCCATGGCGGCCCTGGCTGGGCTGGCTGCCGGCCGCCCGCCGCCTCCTCCTGCGCGGCCCGGCGGCCGGGCTGGCGGCCGCGGCGCGGCGGGGCCGCGGGGCGGTGTGTGCCTGGCGCTGGCCGTGGCGCTGCGGCTGGTGGAGCCGCGCCTGGAGGAGCAGCGGCGGGCTGAGGCGGCGTGTCGGCAGATCCAGGTGCGGAGCGGCCCGGGGGTCCCGCCGGGCAGCGCCTGGGGCGCTCTCCGTGAGGGGCGGGGGGGCTGGAGGGAGGCCTTCAGTCGCCTCCCAGGAAGGGCAGAGGAGGTTGTGGCCCTCCAGACATCCTTCGGGAAAGGGAGGGTGGCCCTTGATGTGCGGAGGCCCTTGAACACCCGCAGGACGTCACAGTGTCGGTGCTGTGGGGAGACAGACACGCTCCCCCCAGAAGGGTATGGGAGTCCTTGCTGTGGGGAGCCCCTCCACACCCCCGCTGAGGGTAGTGGGGGTCATCCCTCTGGAGAAGCCCTTAGACATCATCCATAAAAGGGAGGGGGATGCTGGCGAGGAGCCCCTCAGATGCCCCCTTTTCAATGGCAGGGGCATCACTGCTGTGGGGAGCCCCCTAGACACCCTTGGTGAAGGGGAGAGCCTTGTTGTATGGAGCCCCTCAGACATCCCTGATGAAGCAAAGGGGCATCACTGCTGTGGGGAGCCCCCTAGACACCCTTGGTGAAGGGGAGAGCCTTGTTTTATGGAGCCCCTCAGACATCCCTGATGAAGAGAAGGGGCATCACTGCTGTGGGGAGCCCCCTAGACACCCTTGGTGAAGGGGAGAGCCTTGTTTTATGGAGCCCCTCAGACATCCCTGATGAAGGGAAGGGGGATCACTGCTGTGGGGAGCCCCCGACAGCCCCTCTGAAGGGCACACTGGGGAGCCCCACAGACGCCTCCCCATCTCTCCCCAAGGAAGGTGGGGGTGCTGCAGTGAGCAGCCCTCAGACACCTCCCCACAGGAGGGGTGCTGGGAGCAGCCCCACAGGCACCTCTTTCTCCCCAAAAACAGGGTCCTGGGGAAGCCTCTCACTCAGCAGCCCTTCGTCGCCCGAAAGCACGGTGATGCAGCCACCACTTTCAAAAGCAAGGGACCCTCACTCCCTGTCCCTCCACAGAGGGAGGAGGTCAGGCCCCTGGTGATGGGGGTCTCATGTTCCAGGACACTGATGTTGATCCTCTAGGGACCCTGTGGTGCTGGGCCAGGCTGTGCTGGCAGGGCACAGGGGACATATGGTACTGAACTTATTTCCTGGGTAAAAATAGACCTCTGGTGCTCAGAGCCAGCTGTCACCTGCTCCACCGGCCAGCAGACGCGTTCCCTGAAGTTTCTCCTGAAGAGGATCCTTTCTCTCCTCTGTCCTTGCTGGGTTGTTTCATTTGCTGTCCCTGGTCTGTGTTGGATGATACATCCCTAGGGTGTCACCGGTGCTCTGGGGCTGCAGCTCACAGAGAAGGCCACTTGTCTGTATCAGTTCAGGTGACAGCTGGGGCAGCACCAGACCTGGAGGATCATGCACTGTGAGGAAACTCCAGAACAGCCTCCTGGGTGTTGTTTATCCACATCTCTTGATTTCCTCCCCCAGCTCCCTCCCCTCATAGATTCACACTCCCTCAAACTAACCAGCCCTCACAGTCGACTGCCACAAAAAGGCCATTGTTTCTCCTGTTGCTGCTTTTAATTGGATTTTCTTTTAAATGCTGTTTGCTTGATTTGTTTATGGAAAGGGAGAAAAGTGTAATAATGCATCTGTTTTTAGAAGTGTTCAGATAAACTTTTCTTTACACAACCCCAGAATCATGGAATGGTTTGGGCTGGAAGGGACTTGAAGCTCCATCTCTTTCCACCCCTGCCATGGGCAGGGACACCTTCCACTATCCCAGGTTGCTCCAAGACTGTCCATCCTGGCCTTGGACACTGCCAGGGATGGAGCAGCCATGGCTTCTCTGGGCAAAATATATTTATATTCTAAATTGGCAAATGACTCCCCCTCCTGGTTTCTCTTCTTCCTTTGAAAAGGGCACCTTTGGAAAAGACTGGTGTAGGGGTAGACTGTATCACACAAAAATATGTGGCTTGCAGATGATCTTTCATGTGGTTACAGTGATTTGAGCCCAATGGTTAGAGTCTGATTGAGACTTTCAGGTTGGACCATCCCACCAGGACGTGTAATACCACTGAAACACCAAGTTCTCCTTCGCTGGTGTGAAAAACGCCAATCACATGGTTTTTAAAATTTTAAAAGTTTAATAATAATAAAATGGTTATAAAAATAATAATACAATTAGAGTAATAAAGTTTAGAGTTAGGACAATTACAAGACAGTAAAAAGCAAAGAATTACGGATGTCCGGATGCTCTCGGACACTAAGTCACGAATAGCATCCCTTGTGAACAAAGGAATCACCCTTAAACCAATACACTTGTTGCATATTCATACATCCTTTATGGTTATGCATACATTCTATACTAAACAAGAAACTCTGTTGCATGTCAACTGTTTCCTTTAATCGCCTGGCATCTTCGAGTCTGAGCAAGGCCTGAAGAAATTAGCTTCTTCTGATAAGAAGCCATAAATTCCTCTCCTTTGGAAGATTTAGGTGTTCCTTGAAGCGAGTATCTCATTCCTAAAAGAAAAAACTTCCCCACATACATAGTCTCTATTTTAACATTATGTTGGAACCTAAAACTGTATTTAACACACTACTTAAGAGAATTAATACAGCATAACTTTCTAGCATTACACATATAATATTCATTGTAACATTTGCGAAAAGCCAATCATAAAATATGCATTTTTCACAGCTGGGAAGTCTGGGATAACTGAGCACGTTTTTTCTGTTCATGTTCCTTTCAGACTGTGTTTGTTGGGAAGAACAAGCCGCAGAAAGATCCCCTGAGCTCCTTCCGCTGGCAGGGCTTCAAGCTGGAGGAGTATCTCATTGGGCAGCCCATCGGGAAGGGCTGCAGCGCTGCTGTGTACGAGGCAGCGATTCCCTTCTGTCCCAGCCCTCGGGATCCAGCCCTGCAGCAGGACCGTGCCTCAGCCTCCCAGGGGGCCGAAGGGGAGCCTGTAGTGAAGCACCAACCGAAAGGGGCTTTTCCCTTAGCTATCAAAATGATGTGGAACATTTCGGTAAGGAGTCGGTGCTGAATCCCCCTGTCTGTTGCTGGGGAATTCTGGCTGGAATGTGTAATACTGAAGTGTTGAAAGTGCTAATTATGGAGTGCAGGATGGGTGTGTCACAACAACGCTGTTGGTAGGTGACACTGGAGATGTTGAGTGTTAGTGAAGAGTCTCGGAGCGTGGTAATTAGCATTTGTTGTCCTCTGGAATTGGCACTGAGAGTTGTTGGGTATGGAGGTGATGTTTTGGGAAGAAAAGGTTTTCTGAGGCTGGCTCTTAGAAAGGTCTAAGAAGGGGAAAGCCACTGCTGCCAGTGATTTAGGAATTGGTGTCCTGTCAGGACAGAGGTGGGTTTTCTTCCTGACGAGTCAGTGGTCTCGGGGTGCACAGTTGTGTCCCCTTGCCGTGAGGTGGCTGTCGAAGATCTGCTCCAGTGTTTCCCAGCCTGGGTGACTGGTGATCCAATTCCTCAGTGTGGCTCTTCCATATTTAAAAAAAATCCATGTGGCTTTCCCCATTGATGCAATAAATGAATATTTCAAGACCATCTTCCAAAAT